CCCCAAAACCCCAAAACCCCAAAACCCCATCAATCATTTTTAGCTGGAAATCAGTGAATATATTTTTTTAAAAATAGAGTTCGAATATTTTTAATAGGTAATAAATGTTTAAATCAAATTCCATTTATTTCAAGCCAATCTATAAAGAAATCCAGGAATTAATCCTTCTTCAACAGTAGTATTGTCATCATCAAGATTTGACACTGTCAATTAAAATATATCCATATCAGGATTTTAAATTGTTGAATAATCTGCTCCACTAGAGGAAAAATAAGAGAATTAAAAATCAACAATTTACATAAATTGTAATGTTTACCCAGCTTCGATAAAAATACCATTTGGAAATCTTTTGAATTTATATTTGTAAAAATGAAGTTCGTTTATATCTTCTTTATTGTATATAACCAATTCTTCATATATTTCTGAATCAAACATCAAATCATCATTTATATCATAAATCTGATAAGAGTAACGCAAATTGAATTTTTCTGGGGGTTCTTCATATCTTTCAAATATCCCTATACCACAAAAATAAAAGTCAACCTTAGATTTAATTTAAATAGCACTCCATTCATCTTCACTTAAATTCCATATCAAATCTGTTACAACATTCTTAAATCTTTGAAAGAACTTTAGTTAACTTTAGTCATTACTATTTCTTGATCCATTAAGTAAAATCTAATCTCCAGGTCCAATATTTTCCTAAGCAAAAGAGTTGTATTCACTCACAAGTCTGCCCTTAAAAAAGGATTAAAATTGACAATCGTGCAGTTTTTCAAATGTCTTGATTATTGAACTTAACGAATCTTAAATTCTAACTCTATGTTTTTAGGCAGAGTATTAATGCTCTATGAGACATATAGTCTCAATCTCAAATTAGAAAATCAATTCAGAAAGAAGAATATTTACAACTTCATGTTCCTTGTACTTGTATGTACTATCGTCCTCTGCAATATCCTCATCTTAGTAATATGCATCTGACTTGTATACCTTGCATTGCCAAGTATTCTATAAACTCAAGTTGTCTTAATCAGAGATTTAATTTTGATTTGCCTAAATCTCGATATTATTGTCCTTTGATAGCAATATGTAACGATACTTGGTGTGAAAAGCCATCATACCTGGCTTGAACTCTTTAGAATGTACTTCACTTCTAAATTTTCTGATAATCTTTTTATCTTTCCAGTCTTTTGAGATTTTGAGATGATGATCTTTCTTATTCAGAGAATCATGATATCGCAAACCTAGTACAAAATCTTCTTCTTCACTAATTTTCCAAACTTTGTTCTTATCAAAGTAGTTTTTCGGGAATTAAACTACGAAATCATATTTTTATTCGAAATCTTTGATTGATTAATCCATTATCTTAAAATTATAAAAATGAAAAAATTCTTGATCACGGGGTTTTGGGGTTTTGGGGTTTTGGGG